TTTGACACAGCCCCAGCTATTTGTTGCCGATTCAAGCTAGTAAGAGCCAGATTTGGCAGGTTGCAGCTCCATTCATCTGGTTCCATCTGGCTGAAACCAGTTTGAGCCAGTTCTGACCAATTTGGGCCAGTTTTGGCAGGTTGTGTCTAGTTTTAGCCAGTTGAATTTGAGGAAACACAGATGTACCTGGAAGGGATTATGCTAAGCCAAAAAAGTCAGAAGTAGAAAGATATATACTAGATGGTTTCACCTACATGTGGAATATAGAGAAACCAAACAAAATGTCAGACAAAGAAAAACCTTGAATGCTGAACAAAAAATATGAGGCATTTGGGAAGTGTGGGGTGGAGGAATGAAAACATGTGCTATTTCTGTACAGGATGCTAGAAGCCAGTGGTGAACTACATGGACTAAATCCCAGATCTCATGATATTTGTAACCTAGTGCAAGGGTTATCAAACCAAGAATCAAGGGCTTTCACACTACCATAGCAGGGTAATAACAATGAATAGCCCACATGCTTATAACACACTCTCTGGCTCTTCAAAGAAAATATTTTCTAGCCCATGTTCTAGAGAGAAGGCCATCAATGAAGCAAATCTCTACAAATAAGAGTGTTAGGAAGTAGTATAGCGTATTATGGAAATGTCTTAGAATGTGGAAGGATTTAACTAATCTAATATAACCAAAAACTAAAGAATGTACAAGGGTTAACCAAATAAAGAAATTGTGAGAAGCTAGAAAAAATGTGTCCCAAATATAAGGGAGGTCATGCATAAATGCTAGAAGGTGAGAGAGGCCATCATGGCCCCTGATTTTAGGCTGGGAGAGAACAAGTAGAAGAATGACACAAAATGATGCCAGTCCATGAAATATATGAGAGGCCTGACTAAGGATGTTGGATTACATGCAAAATGCAGTAGGAAGCCCATGGCTAATACTTGAGTGAGTTTCTCTAAGTTTAGCTCAGCATAGAACGGATTGATTGATTCTAGACACATTAGCAAGAATTCATGCTTAGTTTATAAAGATTTTTGCTGATGGTTTTACAACAGTTCTGTAGCAGCAGCTGATTGATGCACTGACCATATGTGGGATAACAGAGTGCAAGCACCCACTAAGTAAATGATAGAGTTTGTGTTCAATAAATGGTAGACATTCTCTCCTCCACAGTTACCTGTGTGATGTACATATCAGGAGGTGTCAGCTCACTGTGTACTGTCATTATTACACTTGTTGGGTGATGTTTCACTTCTGTTGGATTTTCAGTGAGTGTACACAAAAATGCACACACACACTTGTAATTAACAAAACTGGGATCCCACTGTCTGCATTCTTGGTAAGTAGACAAGGGGTTCTCACCAAAGTCACCTCCAAATCCCACTTTCCTTCCTCTTTAGGTGTCCACTATAGCTCCCATGTATTCTTCTGCCCAACAGAATTCTGCAAGCTACATCATGTCAGGGTCAGTGCGGCCTGGCTTCTGAAATAGGTCGGGAGACGGTTTCCAAAGAGACGTGTTATTAAAGAAACAATGCCTTTGTCTCGGCAGCAAGGCTAAGTGCTGTTTATTTCCAGATGCTTTCCTGGAACAAGGGAAGGGAGCACAGCTGCACATCATCCATGGAGTGGCTGCGATCGGATGGGGGCACCACTCAAAGGAAATGACCAGGCTCATTCAAGGCTGGGCACATGAGACAATTTCCCATTCCTGATTAAAAAGAACTCAGTTTCCTTCTTTACTGGCTGGCAAGTGCTCCAAATACCAACATTTCTATTTATGTGAGTGACACTGTCAATTTCTCTCTGCCCCGATGATCTCAGTTTTAATCATTTTTAATTTTTTTTTTTTTTCATATAAAAGCCTCCCTTGTTCTACCGTCTCAGCCTCACACTGTTCCTTCTGATTGCGATAAGTAAGGACAATTGGTTTAGAGCTCAGGTTCCAGGAAAAAAACTGTTTCAGTTAGAATCTTGTTTTGAACAGTTAATTATCATTTGTCCTTGGACAATTGCCTTCTTCAAGACTCACTTTCATTATAATATCAGTATATTTCAAATAGTAACTTATAGGATAGGTGTGTTTCATAAAGTAAATGAAATAGTTCACCATTAAGTGTTTATCTCAGTGTTAGGAGAAGAATAAACAATAAGTAAATACTTATTATTATTCTATTATCATCAGCATTTTCTGTTTGTTTTTATTATTCTCCTGAGTGAGTACTGGTATTTTTCTGATGAAACATCTCACATCTGTTCTGTTCATCTTTCTGAATGTACCCTTTCAGTGTTTCCATTGTAAATCTCCCCAGAGAAACCCAACTAGCCTCACCAGTTTTTCTCTTTTCTCTCTAGTCCTTTCCACAGGTCTACTCTTTCTCCTGGGATAACTTCCATTTTTTTTGTGACAAGGTGCATGCATTTCCTATATACAGGCTGTCATAGCAAAGCAGCACAAACAACTGAGTGACTTGAACAACATACATTTGTTTTCTCATAGTCCTGGAGGCCAAATGTCTAAAATAAAGATATTAGTAGGGTGGCCATGTCCCTTTTGAAACTTGTAGGGACACACTGCTTGCCTCCTCCTACCTTCTGGTGACTCCCAGTAGTCTTTAGTGACCCTTGATTTTTTTTCTTTTTTTAAAAATTTACTTATTTATGCATACAAGATCTGGGGTATAGGCCAGAGGTACAGGGGGTGAGATGATTCACCAGAGACAGAGTGGGGAACAGAATGGGCAGACTGACTGAAATACACTGCTGAGGGGAGCAGTGAGCAAGGCAGTAGAGTTCTGCTGTGCCATGTGGGTAGCTCCCTGGCCAGCCAGGGATTAAACCAGTGCTGCAGAGGCTGGTGATAACTTGATAGTGCTGCCTTTAGCCCCTGCACCACCAGGGAGGACCTACCCTTGATTTTCAGATGAATTACTCCAGCCCTCTGTCATCACATGGTATTCTTATTGAGTCTCTGCCTTCATATATTCATTCTTACAAGGATATCAGACATACTGGATTAAGAACCCACTCTACTTTAGTGTGACTTCATCTTAACTGATTATACCTGCAATAATCCTACTTCTTTATATAAGATCACATTCTGATGTATGAGAGGTAGAGATCTCAACATTTTTTTTTTTTTTTTGTGGGGGAGGTAAGGCACACTATTCAACCCATAAAGCATGACTTCAAGATGTACCTCCACTACCTCCTCAATCCCTACATCTCACCACTCCCCATAGTATCCCTCTGGCCTTTTAATGAGTTGTTTATATGATGCCCTCTCTGTTGCCTCAGTCTTTCATAGGATCTGCCCTCTTTGAGAATATTCTGATGCCCTCCACTAGTTTTTCCTACCAAAGGCTTACTTACTAAAATCTCAACTTTGTGATTGCCTGTTATAAGTAGCCTCAACTAAAGCTCACTCACATTTGGGTGACTATTTTGAAAAATAAAGATGAAAGAGAAAGGAGGCAGGAAGCGGGGGGAAAGGGAGGAAAGGAGAAGGAAAGAAAGAAGGAAAAAGGAAGGAGGGAGGAAATAACAAGCATTGATGGGGATATTGGCCAGTGACACACTTAGGCATTGCTGATGAAATTGTAAAATGATGCAGACAGTTGTAAAATGATGGAAATTGTAAACATTGGAAGGCAGTTCCTCAAAACTTCAAACTCAGAATTACCTTATGATTCAGCAATTTCACTTTAAGTTGTTAAAAACCAAAATTCATGAATTTAGAGTCAATTAGCTGTATTAAAAGAATCATGATTCAGGCAGTATTCCATGTAGCTAGGAGAAAGACATTGCAAGGATTTTCACAAAAGTAGGACTTTTAGAGCCAGAAAGAGGGTGGGGCAAAATTATTATGGGGGGGGATGTGCCCTTGCGAGACAGAAGGGCTTACAGTGCTAGATTCTATCCACTAGACTACCAAGGTGCTTGTTATTAGCAAAAGAAAAGAGAAGAGAAGAGAAGAGAAGAGAAGAGAAGAGAAGAGAAGAGAAGAGAAGAGAAGAGAAGAGAAGAGAAGAGAAGAGAAGAGAAGAGAAGAGAAGAGAAGAGAAGAGAAGAGAAGAGAAGAGAAGAGAAGAGGAAAAGGAAAGGGAAGGGAAGGGAAGGGAAGGGAAGGGAAGGGAAGGGAAGGGAAGGGAAGGGAAGGGAAGGAAGGGAAGGGAAGGGAAGGGAAGGGAAGGGAAGGGAAGGAAGGGAAGGGAAGGGAAGGGAAGGGAAGGGAAAGGAAGGGAAGGGAAGGGAAGGGAAGGGAAGGGAAGGGAAGGGAAGGGAAAGGGAAGGATATTTTAGGTAAAGTCACCTCCCCTCAGGGGACTTTTGGGGATGTCTTATCAGACAGGTGACCTCACTAGTGCTGATCAAGAAACTCCAGATTGATTTGATTAAAGATTGTCCTTGGGAGGGGCTGAAACTGTGTTAGGTCAGGCATTTAGTCTGGCTAGGACATGGTATGAAGAATTCCATTTGAAACTTTTTTTCTTTACTAGGGTTTATGCCCCAAATGACTAAAAGTAGGAACTGAAACAGACATTTCTACAACAATGTACATAGTAGAATTATTCATATTACTCAAAGGTGGAATATGAAAATAATACATATGCCCATTGATATATGAATGTACAAAGTAAGGGTTCTGAAATTAAGCCCAGCCTACATTTATTCCTATAACATTCTTATTCTCATAACATTCTTTCATGTTGGCGCCTTACCTCGTGGCATCAGGATACTTCCCCCTTCCGTGATTGGCTGTGCTCCTTTCGGCCCAGTGCGCATGACGACCTCCGGCGCACCAAATAAGGGATGTGACCTCCGGCGCACCAAATAAGGGCATGTGCCCTTCCGGGATTAGCTGTGCTTCTTTTGGTCCAGTGCGCATGACGGCCTCCGGCGCACCAAATAAGGTTATGTGTTTAATCATTGGCTAAGCACTGTTGGCCTGCTTCTTCCGCTTCCGGTCCCCAGCTACAAAGCCCCGCCGAAACCGAAAGTAAAAGAGACCTGCGATAGCTGAACCAGGAGTATGCGTGTCTCCCTCCGGTGTACCCCTGTTCTTTCAAGTCGCTGCTCTCTCCCCGAGAACCTTGTTGACCAGTCCGCGGGCTCGGGCAGGTGGCGCCCAACGTGGCGCTCGAGGTACGAGAGATTTCCAGTAGACCCAGACGCGGCGTGCGGCGCGAGTTACTCAGGCCCCGACCCACCCGGCGGGACAGTCATTAGGTAAGTTTTGGCGTCTGATATTTTTAAAAATGGGACAGGCACTTAGTGAGCACCAGCTTTATGTTTCCCAGCTCAAGGAAGCTCTTAGGACACGCGGAGTTAGGGTTAAGTCCAAGGACCTCTTTTTATTCTTTGATTTTGTCCAAGAAACATGCCCGTGGTTCCCTAAAGAAGGAACTATTGATGAAAAACGCTGGCAGAGAGTGGGAGATGCTCTCAACGAGTTTTACCGAGTTTTTGGGCCCGAAAAGATTCCCGTAACAGCCTTTTCATATTGGAATCTTATTAATGATCTGTTGGCTAAGCGAAAAACTGATCCTGGCTTACAACATGCTATCTCCCATACTGAAAATATCCTTAAAAGTGCCCCCTCCAGTGTAGCTGAGGCTCCCCCTTCTGGGGCTTGCGGTGAGGACCTAATTTCATCCCATAGTGAGGATGAAGAAATTTCGCCCCCAAAACATGCGACAGGGGCCCCCAACCCTTATGATGAGACTAATCCCCAAAATAATGCGCCCCCAGTACCAGATGGTACCCCCCAACCTGCCGGCACCCCCGTAAAGGAGCCCCGTCCAAATACACTTCCCCCATGCAAAAGCCTCTACCCTTCTCTGCCGCGACCCCGCTGTAGGTCCCCTCCGGCTTCCGAGGTAGACTGGGACGAGTTGGCAGAACAAGAGGGTCGCTACTGGCCTCCCCCCACCTCTATTGCCAAGGACCCCGTAAAAAAGCCTGTTTTAATACAAACGCTTGAGACCTTGGGAAACCAAATTAATACTCTTGTTAACCGTTTTGATAAATTGTGTGCGGCCTTCCTCGTGTCTGCTGACAGCCCTTCTGCTCCTCCCCCACAAGTTAATCCGCCGCCATTTTGTCCTTCTTCTGTTCCCGCCTTGCCGCCATTTTGCCCTCCTTCTTCCTCCCTTGTTGCCTTGCCGCCTTTTTCTTTGACTCCTCCTGCTCAGCCGCCCTCTCTCCGTCCCTCCCTCCTCCTTCGCGTCCTGCTCCATTACATCTCTTTCTAGTGGTTGAAACCACCAACGCCCAGGGCGTTGTTCAACGTCATCATGAGCCTCATAATTTCCGCAACATTAAAGAACTAAAAGAGGCTGTGTCCCTTTATGGAGTCACGGCGCCCTTCACCCTCACTGTTTTGGACACCTTAGCCCAATCCTCTCTCACTCCGTCGGATTGGTACTCCCTGGCAAAGGCCACCCTTTCTGGGGGCGATCACCTCCTTTGGAAGGCTGAGTTTATTGATAATTGTAACGTTTTGAAAGACAAAACCGCGAGGCCCCCAATGGCTGGATCCTTGAAATGCTAATTGGAGAAGGCAATTATTCTGACCAAAATAACCAAATCAATTTTCCACCCTTTCCATTACTCATACTACTGGCATACCATATAATCCGCAGGGACAGGGCATCGTTGAAAGAGCCCACCAGACACTCAACACCGTTATTCACAAAATCCGCCAATCTTCCTGGTACCCCTCCCGGTTGGCGCCCCGCAATGTCCTGTGTCATGCCTTGTTTATTTTAAATTTCCTCCGCCTAGATGATGCTGGTAAAAGTGCAGCCGACCACTTTTGGCACTCCTCTACCTCCACTCAGTTTGCATTGGTCAAATGGAAGGACCCACTTACTGGCTCTTGGAATGGTCCAGACCCTGTTTTGATTTGGCTCGTGGAGCGGTTTGTGTCTACCCCCACGATGCTGACTCTCCTCGCTGGCTCCCAGAGCGCTTGGTTCGCGCTGTACCTGCGCCACCCAGCGCCACTGCAAAACCTCCGGACGCCGCCGAGGCGCGGTGGCTGAGTCCCTCTGAGGCGTCTCTTTTTGTTTCCTTTTCAGGATGCCTGTGGCCACCTGGATTCTCCTGGTTCTTCTACAGTAGCCTGTCGCCCGTGTCTTAGCCGGCCTTGGACCACCCGCCTCTCTCGCATCCGCGTCTTCTTCCTTGGATTCGCCCTGCAACTGCAAGGCATTACCTCTGCCCTGGCCACAGGTGCCTCTGGTTTGGCCATCTCCGTTTCTCAATACCATACCTTGTCTCAACAACTCATTGATGATGTACAGGCACTATCTAGCACCATCCAAGATCTTCAGGACCAACTAGACTCTTTGTCGAAGTTACCCTCCAAAACTGATGCAGTTTTGACCTCCTCACCGCTGATAAAGGGGGCATCTGTGTGGTCCTGCAGGAGCGTTGTTGCTTCTATGCCAATAAGTCCGGCATCGTACGCAATAAAATCCGCCAAGTCCAAGAAGACCTAGACAGACGCTGGCAGGATCTTGCAACCAACCCCTTATGGACTGAACTTAATGGACTTTTGCCGTATTTGCTTCCCCTGTTGGGTCCCCTGTTATCCCTTTTATTGTTACTTGCTATGGGTCCTTGTGTTTTAAACACAGTCCCTTCAGGCGAGACCTATCCAGGTGCACTATCACCACCTGGAAATGCTGGAAAGTGGGGATGCATATACGGATCTCGGGTCGCCGTCTGCGCCTGGCCAGTAGGTAGCACAGCCTACATGCTATGGGAGTCCCACCGTCCTGACCCTTGGTAGCCTTTTAACGTCAGTCATTATCCAGCTTCCTGCCTGGGCCCCCTTGAGGATGCTGGAATGGATAGCCAATGACTGGTAAGATGGAATGCGGGACAAGACCAACCTAAGACAGCCCGTGCTCCCTTTCCATCTAGGACCGTCGGGTGATGACGGGTAAGGCTCGTCCCTGCAATTCACAACCTAAGACAGGCACATTCCTCCTCACTAATAAAGAGAAAAGGGGGATCTGTTGGCGCCTTACCTCGTGGCATCAGGATACTTCTCCCTTCCGTGATTGGCTGTGCTCCTTTCGGCCCAGTGCGCATGACGACCTCTGGCGCACCAAATAAGGGCATGTGCCCTTCCGGGATTAGCTGTGCTTCTTTTGGCCCAGTGCGCATGACGGCCTCTGGCGCACCAAATAAGGTTATGTGTTTAATCATTGGCTAGGCACTGTTGGCCTGCTTCTTCCGCTTCCGGTCCCCAGCTATAAAGCCCCGCCGAAACCGAAAGTAAAAGAGACATGCTTTAGCTGAACCGAGTGTACGTGTCTCCCTCCGTGGTGTACCCCTGTTCTTTCAGGTCGCTGCTCTCCCCCCGAGAACCTCATTGACCAGTCCACGGGCTCGGACACTTTCATGTTCCTATAGAATTGAAAAGATATCTCACTTGGATTCTGAACAATTTGTGACATTTCAAGCCTGCATGATTTTGTTCACATTGTTTTTCCTGGTTATACAGTTCTATGTTACAAACTGTCATCTAACCATTTGTACCAGAAAACAGCATTAGACCTTTCTCAAGATTTTGTGGGTTCCAAATTTGGAAACACTTCATTGGGCAGCTTGTCTCCAATCTGAGGCTGGAAGGTACATTTGGAAGATGTCTTCTTAATGCATATGTCTGGCCCCTGGATGCTATTTTGCTTACTTGCTTGCTCTTGCTCTCACCTTAGCATATCATTGCTCTAATATAAAATGATAGGATGACTCCACTCACTTGGGCGGCTCACAGCAAGGTGATCTTAGGGTACTCATGATTTTCACATGGTGACTAGCTCCTAGTGTCAGAAAGCAGATGCTGCATAAACAAATAAAGGATCTGCTGAGGACTGGCACAATTCTACCACACTCTACTTGTCAAACCAATTACCCATATTCAAGTGGATGAGTTAAGCTCCACATTCTCATGGAGTAATTGCAAAGTTATATTGCAGAAGAGCTTGTGGACCAGGAAATACCATTGTGACCTCTTTGTATAATGCAAATTCTTCTATCTATCTCTAGTTGGAATCGATAGCTAACTAGCTAGCTAGCTAGACATAGGTAGGTTATTTTTGTATATATTAGAAAATGCTCTAACACAGTCCAGTATAAATATCAGAAATAGAGATAAAGATAGTATGCATTGATCCAGATACCTATTACAGAACCAGAAATGGCAGATCTTGCTTGCATCAAGTATAACAAAGTCCAGAAAATGGATACCTTAGAACTATCCTCTTACCTACTGTTTGACTTCAGTATCTTTCCAGAAATGAAATTAGTGAAGCTTAATGAGAGATAGTAGGGATATAGATGAATATCTGAATATCATCTAATAGGTAATTGTTGAAGGTGTGGAAATCATTTAATTGTTAATGCGGCATCTGCTTTCTGACACTAGGAGCTAGTCACTATGTGAAAAACATGAGTACCTTAAGATAACCTTACTGTGAGCTGCCCAAGTGAGTGGAGTCATCTTATCATTTTATATTAGAGCCATGATATGCTAAGGTGAGAGCAAGAACTTGATTTTCAGGATGAAAATTTTTGTTGTTCTATGGTAGGTGTGTGACTGTGTATCTGATCAGGGGGAAAGTTAATAAACCCTAAACTAGAGTAATTAGCAGTTATTGGTAGTGACTCGTGGTAACTATTAATAAATACCACCCTTGCATTTCCTAAGACAAAGTCTAATCCTAAGAAACAAAAGGCATAACATATTGCATCATGGAGAAAGACTTTGGAATTAGACATAGAAGGCAGAAACTATATCTCATTAGTTCTGGAATTCCCACAGCTGTGAAATAATTCTTTTGTGCTATTTCTCAGAAAAACAGAGAGAGGAGCTTTGACTATATGAGTTTCAAGTATCTTCTAATTCTAAAAAAAAATATGCACTGTGACAATGTTTTTATAACATGCACAAAACATTATGCAAAACAAGATTTTATGAGTTTTAAAAGCTGAGTTATTCAGAGTACCTTCTACCTTGATCAGTTTCACCATATCAATGTCAACCATACCATTTTATTTGCAGTGATGGACCCAACCAGGGTGGCAAGATCTGACTTAATCCACAAGGTCATAGCCAACTGCCAAGCATCATCAAGAGGAAACAATAGATGAGCCCTTATGACAAGTTTTGGTGAGTAGAAGTTTTGTAAATTTAGTTCCTTCTTATTACTTTAGAAACAATTGCTTTTTTAAAGAACCCCTGTGACTCTTCAAAATCAGCAAGTACCTTTTGTAATATAAATCCTTAAAGTCATAATTTAGTGTTTTGCAATCTCAGATTCTGACATCTCCAGCACTCCTACACTTAGCCTACACTTATTGCATAGTCAAATATTTCTATTTCATTTTCTCTATAGACTGATTTGATATGTAGGGTATATCTGCCAAACAACCAGCCCAACATATTTCTTTGAGTGGAATTTTTACCTAAGTTGTCTAAACTAATGTTTCTAATAATCAAATTCTTTAGATAATTGCCTCAATATCAGCTTGTTTGGCAGACAGAGAATTTTCTATTTTCTTTTTTACTACTTTGTTCCAATTATCAGATTTTGTTTGGCCTATTATTCTTTAATAATTTCCTTTCTTTTAGTTTAGGTACCAGAACAATGCAACTGAGGCTGGTAGTTACTTGCATTTTCTTTTGACTCCATGGATGGAATTCACTGACACATGCAGACCAGCTAATACACACAGAGAGAAAGCATTAAGTATGATATTGAGCATCTTGGACAATTAATTTGAGTCTTAGATCAGGACATGCCTGTTATCCATATTTCCTCCTTTACTTCCCCTTGTGGGAATCTCAGGAAGTATCTCAATATATTTGATTTCTCCTATATACTGTGGAACTTTTCCCCTTTATACTTCTCTGCCTGTTGCCAATCTGAAATGTTCCCTTTGGCTTTCCTTATGAACAAAATAACTTTTGAAATCTAAGTTTCAGAATATCCTAGACACTTAGCACAAATTTTTTTAAGCGTGCACATTCTTTGAATGTGTGGCAGGCGGTAGGGATGAAAGGGTCCTGAAAAGCTTAGTACACTTGATTGGAAGAGGGACTGGAATGGAAAACAGAATAAAAGAGCAAGGACAATTTTAGGGACTATACAGAAAAGACAGTTGCAAAAATTACAGCATATTCTCATGGTTTGCCCATATATTTAATTACAATAAACATTATATAATAACAAAAAATGCCTATAAGATATTTTAGCAAAGCAGGGAATAGTATTGCATGTAAACTATAATTAACATTGTAAAATAATGTGTATTAATTTTAAAATGGCAGGAAAGATAGAAAAACAATCTGTCAGTTTTGGTATAGTGAGGTTATGGATAAGATTTTTTTCTACACAGCATGTAAATATTTATATAATGTTTACAGTTGGCACAAATAAAGTATTTCCCTGTATTTTCCCAAATTTCTATAACCCCCCCTCTTTTCTCTCAGCGGGTGTGTGTGTGTGTGTGTGTGTTTGTGTGTGTGTGTGTTTGTGTAGCAAGTGAGAATGGGAAGCAGAATATGTGGACCCAAAGCCTCCAGTCCACTGTACCCCATTGCATTTAGCAAGATTCTGCCATCTTTTTTTTTTTTTAACAACTTTTGGGGAAAGATATATGTTCCTTTTTTTTTTTTTTTTAAGATTTTTATTTATTTATTTATACAAGCACCAGGTACAGTCAGAAGCATGGAAGGGTGAGAGAATTCACCAGAGCCAGAGTGGGGAGCAGAACAGAACAGAATGAACGAAATACACTGCTGAGGGGAGCAGCGGGCGCAGCAGGAGAGGTCTGCGCATGATGTGGGACCCTCACCGGTGGCCAGGGATTGAACCAGCAATGCAGAGGCTGCAGTCAGCTTCACAGCCGGCGCTCAACCTCTGTGCCACCAGGGGAAGCCCAAGATTCTGCCATCTTGAATTTCAGTTCCACCATATGTAAAAAGAAGGTGAATGAAATGCATCTAGAGTTCTAAATACAAAATCCTACTTTTCTTACTTTAAACAAATTATGTGTATCACATGTTTACTTACATTTTTAGGGCTATTCCTTACTTTTTACAAAGAATGTGCCCGCCTCTATGTTCTTGATACACAAGAACTACTCATTCTACCTTTCATAGATTTATTTCTGCCTCAATGATATCAGCAAGACAGGTATACTGAATTATGATTATTTAGTCTGGGCTTCAATGTTGAGGAGACAATATGGAATAGTTGAGACTATGAAAAACTGGCACAGGCATCTTGGATGATGGATAAAAAATGTACATTCCCAGCACTTAATTGCTGAGCCAGAATGTTGGCTTTAAAATTTTTAGGAGAAATTCTCTGAAGGCTTGTCAGGGGGTAGGGAAAACCTAGATTTTTCTTTTATTTTAGATCTCATATATTTAATTGCAATAGAAAACAACCTATGCAAGTCTTAGAAAACACATACTTGGATTAAATCCAGTCATTGGATCATGTATTTGCAATCTCTCAGCTAGATGAGTTGCAAAAGCTCTTTCAGCTCTCTGATTGATTAGAAATTCATTACTCATTAGAAGGGCAGGTGCATTGGGCATAATTTGTTTTTATTACCCAGCATCCATTTACTCTCCCTTAATAAGAAAGCCCAGATTTTATTTTGATCTTGAGAGCTTGTTTGGAGATCCTAGTGGGCACCACAGCTACTCACATACCCTTGATGGAAGAACAGTCTTTCTCTATTGGGGAATGCCATCCTCTTCCACCGAGCACACAGTTTCAGGAAGGATGTGCATGGAGCAGCGAGGGAGGAAGTGCATACTGGCCTGGCCGGCCAGATCAGCTCAATCAACCCTGGTGATCAATGTGGTTACAGATGTCCCAGCCAGACCACCCTCATATCCCCAGATTTTATTTGGAAAATTGTATCTTTCCTCCACCCTGAATCTACACATTCCACTGACGTTGTGTCTGTCTGTAGCTCTAAGAGTGAATTAAGTAAAATAAATAAATGAATAAATGTTTTTCAGTGGTAAGCACATGGCCCAAGTCATGCCAACCAGAAACAGTGACTAAATTCTGGGTCTTTTTTAAGCGATCAGAAAAGTAGATCTTTTCTCTGCTAGAGAGGAACTAAGAAAGAAGTAGCCCTGGAAGATGCTGGAAGCAACCAACAGAACTCTAACAGAATAGAGCCAAGACAGAGAAAACAGAGACACTGTAACAGGGTGGTCCCCAGGAAAGGGGGAGTTTCCCTGCCCCACCCAAAGAAGGGTGGAGCTGAGCAGGAAGAGGAGAAGCGGGAGAAGAGACTGAGGAAGGAAGGAAGCAGGATGGAGCCAGGAGACCTGGAGGAGGCACATGGAGCCTAGAGACATGTGAAGAAACTGTGCTTGTCTTTTGGTCGTGGACTGGGTGACACAGATGTGGGTGAGACCCGTGGGGAGGTGACAATGGCAGCTTTTATTTTGATGTTGATTTTGCTCTTTTCCTTCCGGGCTTGTCCGGTTGTTTGTGACCCTTTGCTGTGGGTCCCCACTGGAAGATGCTTTAGACTTGTGGCAGGCTTTGGGGCCTTGTTCTGGGCCAATCCCATTTGGATGGACTTTTACCCACGAGGGGATGGGTAACTCTGGATGCTTCATTTAGAAACTAGACTCTTTGCCTTACCTGTATTGTTTCCTAGTTTTATTAAAGTTCCTTCCCATTAAAGTCTCCTATGTTTTGTGTTGATGCGGCGGATGGCAGAACCCATGTAGAATAGGCAGGTTTGCGGGGTTTGGGCTGCCCCTCTCCCTGTCCTATAACAACACCACCACTGGGAAGGAAATAATGGATCTTTAAGGTGTTATTTGTACCCTGACATCCCGGGTTGTCTGAAGTTATAAACCCTGAGCTTTCTATCTTGGAATCAAGAAAAAAAAAATTAAGATATATTTATTTATTTATTTGTTCGTTTATTTATTTATTTATTTATTTATTTATATAAGAACCAGATGCACGGGAGGGTGAGAGGATTCACCAGAGCCAGAGAGGGAAACAGAACAGGCAGACTGATGAAATACACTGCTGAGGGGAGCAGCGGGCATGACAGGAAAGGTCTGCTGTGCCATGTGGGACCCTCGTTGGCCGACCGGGATTGAACCGGTGCTGCAGAGGCTGTGGACAGCTTCACAGCGTGGTGCTCAAATGCCCAAGTATCAGGAAATCTTTTTAACCTTAAGTTAGTTTGCATCTACATTTCAGCTCATGGCAACCAAAAACTCAAGCTCTTACAGAGACAACTGAGAGGGGATGAGAGCACTACCTTAGTCCCAAATTTCCTTAGTGCTTAGACTTAAAAGAAAAGGGGGTGGTGCACTGGTAAAAGTTTCTCCAGCCTGTATGAGATGTTGGTGAAGATCTTCACTAACTAGATATAATGTCACCATATCCCTGCACCCTTTCCAGATGTTACTTTTTTGAATAAACATCTTCAACACCTTCTCCTGGTATAGTGGGGAAAAGGAATGTTATTTTTCTTTCAACTCTGTTGCTATATTCCCTGTGGAACCATTTCAATTTAGTGAAGTAGAGAGGGACCCAGAGTCTTCCGTTATGAATGTGGTGCTTGAAATGCCAAAGTCAATGACATGAAACGCAGGGCTTCATTACTCCTCAGCTCACCCACACCAGCTTCCCAGGACCCAGTGATAGTTGCTGCCAGAAAGATACATTTGAATTTCAATGTGTCAACTCTCTCTAGCTGTTCTTTCCCTGTTACTGGCTACAAATGGCTTTTAGAAATCTTTTGAACACCCGGTGATTCCGCTCTCCACCTTCTACCACTGCCTAACACAGAATTGGACATCTTTATTCCCAAGATGTCACAAATGAAGGAAAAGGTGGTCTAGGGAAAAACATAAGCCTGTGTTCACAAAACATGCTATAAATAATAATCTTTCTACAGGTATTTACACTTTAGAAGAGGCAGCTTGCAGAAAGTAAAGAGCAGAAATTTTGCCTTTGATCCCACTTTGCTTTGAGTTTTAAGTCTACCTTTTCATAATAAGTAAATACGGTGAAGCTGCCACACTTTTTCCAGCCTTGGTTTCTTCTTAAATAGGATGATAATGCTGAGCTCACACAATTAGTATCTGTGTATGTCATTAAACTGGGAACTATTCAATATTACCTTTCACAACCATTTTGTAATGAACTAGGACTAAGAAAGGAAATGGTTATTCATTCAACAAGCATTTAACGTGGGCCTTAATAGTTAAAAAAAAAAAAATGTGGCATCTGGTGTCAGATGCCTGGATTCAAATTATTTTCCTAATCATTGATAACTATATGACACAGGGTTCAAATTCTTGTGCTTCCCCTTCGTTATCTATAACAGGATCCACCCCCTAGGGTTAGAGTGTGAGTTTATAAGACTGAAATTAGAAAACGCCTAACAAATTCCAGTGTTACTAATGTGAGAGATATTGCTTCTGTTCAGCAACTGCTATACTTCACCTTATCTCAACCATAGGGCTCAAGAAGTGGCAGTAGTATGTGTCTGAATTTCTGGATTTGTATTCGACAACTCTCTAGCCCCTCGTCTCCAGTCTGGATCATTGGGTAAACCACTTCACCCTACTGTGTCTGGTTTTCTCACTTCTTTTTTTTTTAATTAATTAATTTATTTATTTATACAAGCACTGGGTATAGTCAGAAGCACGGGAGGGTGAGGGAATTCACCAGAGCCAGAGCAGGGAACAGAACAGGCAAACTGGCGAAATACACTGCTGAGGGGAGCAGCACATGCAGCATGAGAGGTCTGTTGTGCCATGTTGGACCCTCGCCGGTGGCCAGGAATCCAACCTGTGCTGCAGAGGCTGTGGACAGCTTCACAGGCCAGCACTCAACTGCTGTGCCACCAGGGGAGGCCCATGGTTTTCTCACTTCTAAGATTGACTATGGTGATGGTACACGGGTGTATTGGTGGCATGAATTTCACGGGGACTATAACTGAGATGAGAGCATGCATTGCAAAAAAGTGAAGAACAATGTAAAATATATATTAAAATAATAATAATAAAAATAAACAAGAAATAATAATAGCATACAGCTTATAGGTAAAATAGGAAGACTAATTATTCTGTGTGCATCACTTAGTAGAACACCAAATACACAATACATAATGCTCAACTATTCTAACTATTCTTACTGTTATCAATGTTTTTTTCTTCAAGGTCACATAGGTAATCAGAGGTATAAATTAGCGGGTTAGTCAAATCACTACATGAAAATCTGTTGATCAAACAGGCTTCAAAATGTCTGACTCCAAAAATCCACACTGTTGCCATTAAACCATATTATGTATCTGTTTAAGAAGATGAACAGCAGAGCAAAGCCAAGGGCAATATTAGATTTATTTTACTGTCATTTCAAGCACATCAGTTCAGGGTGCCACATCACTTTTGAAATGTATATATTTAAAAAAAGAAACAAAAAATAGCTGTAATAACCACAAACTGCTTGCAAAGTAAATTGTGCTAACCCCTCTGCTCCCCATTTGCAAACATATTTGGATTACATCTGGAACAAAATCATTAGTGGCAGGAAGACAGATGTTCTTCAAAGTTCGGGTGTGCGTGTAGACATCAAATATTGATGTTGATGTTATTTACTCATTTGATTCTTTGCTCTTTTCCGAAAGGATAGATTTTGAGATTTTTTGAGATTTATTTCTTCTTTTTTTTTTTTTTTGGTTCCCAAGGTGACAAATCAAGGTCCACCCCAGGAACTTGCAAAGTATTTCATGGTGGTAGGAATATCATGGTGTAGAATTAAATTGATAACTATTATTGTGTAGTTGTCTATCAGTGTAGAATATTTTTTCATAAATAAAGGATCCTCTTCAAAGCAAAGCAATATGTATAGGGCAATGAAAGACTAAGGTGCGCCACTATTAATAGATTGACTACTATAGCAAATTTTACTCTAGATTTTAATTTTAAATATAATTCATTAAAGTAAAATATTTCATTGGGTTCATTTTGAAGGTAGATACTTAAGGGAGAGAATACATGCAATATTATCATCTATGATTAAAGAAAACACATAATGTGCCATGAATGATACTAACAGATAGGAAATTTGATGAGGGTGGGAAGAGGGAATTTGAGGTAATGGCCTTGAGCTATGTCTGTTTAGATTGCTATGAAGTTCTACATTTATGTAATGAAATAGTTTGGGGTTTGTTTTACTCTGAGATAGTTAAATACTGAAAGTGAAAAAAGTTGCCTACTTAATAGCAACATGTTATATTGTGTGGCAGTACCAATTTTCAGAATACCATATAATATTCAGAATACCGTATAAATTGTCTTTGTAGACCCTAATCAAGGAATGTGTTCTTGCCTATTCTGCTTCAACAGAGAACTGAATTCCAATTTATATAACCAAATGCTTTGAAATTTAGGGAGGAAAGAATATGGTAATGTCTAGTAGAGTAGTTACTCTGTACTGACTGTCTATGTCCCTCTTCCCCTCAAACTTACATGTTGAAGTCCTAACAGAAATTTGGAGTCATAATAGGTTGTGGAGATGGAGCCTTCATGAATGGGAATTGTGCCCTGATAAAAGAGATTTCTTGATGTATTTCTACCATGTATAGAAAGACATAGTTGAAAGAAAATAATCAAGAAGTTAAAATGTGGGCTCTCTGCAGACATGAGTAAGGGAGTGCCTTGATTTTGGAGTTCCCAGACTCTAGTACTATGAGAAATAAAAATATCTGTTGTTTAAGTCACCAAGTATAAGGTGTTCTGTTATGTGGTATCTCCTATGTTATTGAAGAATAGCAATGTTAAGTACAGATTTCCCCAATATATGCTATTTTGGCAGGCAGATTATTTTGAGCAGAAATCAATTGAGACTTTGCAGAACCACAAGAACTTTACAAATCCTTATCTACCTAGAAGAATGAAAATTATGATATTACTCATAACAAGATTTTTTCTTTAACCAAACATATCCTTTTTGTTGGAGAAACCTGTCTATACAGCCAGACAAATATCTAAATTACAGGGTATCTTCAATATGTGAGTCCCCCTCCTTTCTCCTAGCCCTAGCCCCAAACCCATCACTTAGCTGTGGAACCTATAAGTCTAAGCTGATGCTCTGTACAGAATTATTTTTTTTTTTCCTCCAGCTAGTTTGTCTGACTGACTAAACAAATTTAGTCAGTCAGTCTGAAGAAACCCCAGAGGTGTAGGGGGGAAGTTTCTTTTCCCTCATTAGTAATGTGATGTTTTCCTTTTGCACATCCCTGTGTTGTCACTCCATTTGTTGTGCATTTCCCATTTACTTCTGCATGTCTAATGCATGACAACCTTAAAGTTCTAGCCTTAACTGCCATCTACCATGGAGTTTGTTCAAAATCCCCCATTTAAGTCAGAATTTCCTTCATTTTTACTCTGAAAGCACTTTGTCTATTCCTATATTTTTAAGATTTAGTAAATTGGATATGAATGTTTGTTTGTAGGCTATTTAAAGAATTCATCTTTAGCTTCAAAACAAGAGGCCATGATTTACTCATCTTGACTCAACACAGCACATGTCACATAGTACATATTCAGCAAAACCTCACTGAGAGAAAGGACACATGTTCTATTTGTCTCTATATTAAGCTTCTTACATCACCCAGCCCAGTGCCTTGCACATTACAGTAGTTACATGAACATCAGGCAGATACAGATACTGCTATGTACATG